CAGCCCCTTCTGCCGGAGGGCGGCCTCGGTCTGAAATGCAACTTCGGTTACCGTTGTTCTTTGCTGGCTTTCCCGTCTTTCGGGACTTTCTTTGATCAGGGCTTTTTCGTGCCTCTTTTGTTTTAACTGTTTCTTTGCCGTAGATTTTGTTTCTGTTTCTGTTTCTGTTTTGAAGCCAGCGGCTGGTCTGGGTTCCATCAGAGTCCCTTAGGGGGTCCTCGTTTCACTGACTGGTCAGTTTGAGTTACTGGCCAGTTAGAAGGGTTTGCAGAAGGCCTGGCAAACAGGTGTAAGGTCACTTCCGGGCGAGCTCGCCTGCTGTCCCATCATCAGGATCCTACTCAGAAAGGATCTAAATTAATAGCCCAGAGGGAGAGCTCTCCGAAACACCCCCTTACAGACCGGTAAGCTCAGAAAGAAAAATATGGGGAAATATTATTTTAATTAAAAATGTTTAACGCTGACGTAATGGCAGGCATCCCCTTCCCCTGCCCTTTGCCACCTCCACCTCCTCCCGCAGCCTCCCCCCTTGGGGACAGACCAAACTGTCTGTCCATGGGTGTGCACATATGCTTTTATTTAATTTATTGGGTGACATTGACTAATAAGAGCATATAGTTTCAGGTGTGGATTTCTATGTCATTTCCCAACTATAAAAGTGATTAGAGATTTCTACCTTGAAAAAGCTCAAGCTTCCTTTGGTTATACTTCTTGAAAGAGTAGCCCCTATTTTCTTTTGACTGTTTCATCTCCAGCCCCTTAATTTCAGCCTCTCTGTATTATTCCCCTTCTTGTGATAGGTCACCACCTTCCGGTGATCGATTCTGAGATATTTAATCTTCTCGATTATAAAGATGGCATCACCGTATACCCTGCCACAGAAAAATATTTCTTCTGGACATTTTTCGGCCTCCAGTTTTTTGTTTTATGGGGCTCCTACCTTCACTATGTTCTTGCACCAATCCCTTCCTTTTTATTTCCAATCTGATTAAATTATCAACAGAAACAAGGAAGAGGGTTTGTCCAAAGAACTAAGGTTCACCAGGAAGGAATTGTATTCTGTCTGTCTTTCCCACCTTAGTCTCCTTCACTGCTGATTATTCTGGGGCTGATGGCAATTCAAGGCATGTTCTTATGGTGGGGCTCTTGGTTTTGCGGGACTTGTGCGTAAGTTAATCAGCCCTCTGCTTTTAACTGGTAGCTATCGTGCCTTGAGGACGGAGGTGGGACATGAAAATACTGATCTTATACTTGAGATGGGCCATCAGGCTCAAAAATTGCTTTATTGGCGAGTGTCATATAGGCGCTTTCATTGCGATCAGTTTTGAGCACTATCTGCTCAAGATGTTGGCTAGAACGTGGGAAAGATAATCCTTATTCCTAATTCAGGGATCAAGTCCAGAAGGACAGGTGAGACCTTGAGCTCTTAAATCTTTTGCCCTCAATTTTACAACCCTAACTATGGTAAGTCTTCTAAAATATAATGCTCCCTTGTTCTTGGGACTTCCTTGGGGGCGGGTAACCCATGGAGATGTATTACAAAACATTCCGGTCGCCCTGTATGATTTTCAAAGCAACCCATTAAAACGGCAGCTTCAACTACTAAGAGCGTTCACTGCTTTGGAGACTGTTGGAGCATATATTTAATTAAGTGGACATTTTCTTTAGGTTACTAGACTGCCCATCAAAAGTAATTCCTTCTCTATGGACAGCTGAAAGAACTGCTTGGCATACTACTTTGCACTAGTTTTAAGTTTCTAGGTACAATAAAACCTTGCTTTTATAGATTGGACTGAGGCCCACAATCAACTTGTTAAAAGCGATATAGAGATGCAAATAGGAGAAAAATATTTCTGCTAGTGCTCATAGGTAAGATATCACTAATAGATCCATGCAACCTTGCCGCATATGGATGCACTGCTTCACAATTCTTTTCAACTCCTCCTTTTAGTAACTTAACTGAAAGACTAATTGATCTGTATTGGCACAGGATACGGAGGGCCTCTATATTAATCGTACTCAAAACGCAGAGGGTAAATACCAGGAGATACAACTAAGTCAAGAGTGTAGAAGCTGCAGGACCACCTGAGGACACAGAAAACTTTTGGGTTTGAGTGGGGAGAATGGAGTTGGCGTGCCGACCTCCAAGCTAGACGGGAGGACATGACCAATTTTTGAGGATGAATAATGCTGCAGTGCAAACCAGAATTTCGGGTTCAGAAAAAGGAGGCGGAAATAGGGTTAGGTTGTTATTCAATGCGGCGTTTGAGTAAGGAGACCAGTTTGCAAAACATCACAACCTAGATAAAAGACTGCCCATCCAGGAGAAGCAGAAAACATTCTGTTCTTATTCAATAAAGTTAGAAGGTAAGGTACATACTGTGTTCGCTATGCTTTTCAGGCACCAGGCGTATCAAAAGCTCACTTTAAAACTGTTTATATACACACATTACTCAAATCATCGTAGAAATGAATGAAATACATTTATGTTCACTGACAACTAACATCTCTCGGTGCTCCTCCCACACGCCAGGCCGTGCCCTTGCTCCCTTACTTGTCTAAATCGCACCCTCAAGGACCTTAACAGGTTGGGATGGAATTTCGGCCTCACTTGCCAATACGCTGGTCAGTTATTGGGCTCCGCAGCACGACCGGTCAAACATGTTGTTGTTGCTGTTGTCCTCTGTTTGACATGAATAAAAAATAACAATGTTCCCTGGAGCTTGGTGTATTTGCTCTGGCGTGTGTATATTTTACTGCTGATAATATAGTGACTACGTGTAAAACGTTACCGAGATCCACGTGCAACGTAAACCTTGCAACTTCTGGTGTGAATTTTAGTTGAGCCACTAAATCGATGGGGAGAGAGAACTCTCTTTCTGGTTCCTGTACGCTACTTCTTACAGTGACAGAAATGCTTTAGGGGAGGCCTAAACCGTCCCTTAAAATGGTGAATTTTCAATAGACTAAAATAGTTCGAGTATTTGTCTATATCGTCAATAAATTAAAAGTTTGTAACTATCCACTCTCTTTTTCTGTTTGAGTCCACTGTAGGAGTTATACTTCCATATCCAATTTGACTTCTTGGTGCACTAAAGCATAAAGAACACAACATTTCATTTTGCTTTTTTTTATGACTTTTAAAATGGATTTTTAGGGAGAGAGGAAGGGAGAGAGAGAGAGAAACATAACACTTATGTGAGAGTGAAACATTGATCGGCTGCCTCCTGCACGCCCCCTACCAGGGGTCGAGCCCCCAGCCTGGGCATGTGCCCTGACCCAGAATCAAACCGGCAACCTCTCGGTGTATGGGCCGATGCCCGGCCAACTGAGCCACACTGGCCAGGGCCGCACAGTATTTCCTTAGAGGCTCTTTCCTCACATGAGCCGCGGCTCAGTCATCTCAGTCTTCATGATTGCCCCAGAAGCTCTTACATGCTGACCCTCGAAACCTGCCTAACACCCCCCGCCCATGGGGATCTCTCCCTGCTTTGTCTCCTCCCTTTCTCTCGCATCCACCACCCAGTTTCTCTCCTTTCCATGACCCAGGTCCTATAATACAAGAAGGCGCTGCGTGGAAAGCAGGCCTTTGCCAGCTGTGAGAGCCGGGGGCGAAGTCCCCCTTTTCCCCAGGACCGTCTCTCATTTTCTCTCTCCACCTGTTTCCCCGGCTCTTTACCAGCACAGCCCAGTAAACACACTCACTCACTCTTGGGTGATTTCAGGAGCAGGGACATTCAAGTCACATGTTAATTCCTGCCGAGTGGATCCCACGTCTGCAGAGCCTTCTGTTAGGTCTTTTTCCTAACCTTTTGTCAGGAAAGTAGCAAAGCGAGTTATGTGAGTAATCCCTACTCGCAAGGAATTTACAATCTCATCTGCGTGACGGGATAAAATCACGTGGAGCAGATTTCAAGGAAGAAAACCAACAGGCAGCGAGAAGGAGCCCAGCCTGCACCCGCATAGCTGAGGGGTCCCTGGGTGCTGGGGGTGCAGCAGGCGCCGTGGGGAAACCAGAAAAAGACTCATGGCAGAGGTAAGAACTGGACAAATGTCTAGGCCAAGGGAAACGTCCCAGGGACCAGGGGGACAGCGAGAGCCGCGCTGCGGGCCTGTGCAAAGCCCTTTCCCGCGGGCCTGCAGCCGCCCCTCCTCTGAGCTCCTGGAACATTTCCTGTGGGACTTGCCCGTTAATCTCTCTCATTCTGCCTTGAGTTGGTTATACATTTTTCTTTTTTCTTAATTAAATGACTCCTGGAAAATAAAGACAATATGTACCCTCTCTTTCATATCACTTCACACAGAGTCTAGCAAAACGTGGTTTTCAGTAAATAATTAGGGGGTTAAATAGAGTTGATGGGAAGCTCAGCAGAGGGGTAGAGGGGAAGGGGAGAGACGTCACATGCTTGTGCTGAGTTTAAGTCCGATGCTGAACACGGGATGTTCCAACATGTTAGAGATGTTATCCAAACAATGCTTTAGGAAGAATTTTCCTGTACTTCACATGGTGGGTCAAAGATGAGTTTATCTTTTTATTCGTATAGGTGTTGTCTGGACATCTGGGGACAGATTCCAAAGATAGACGATCCATAGGATTGACCATTAATCTAAATTTAGCCATGGAAACTTTTGAATAAATGTTAGTCTTTGCATTTTGTGGGCTGGGTCAAAGATACTCTGATAATCTTATGGATGTGAATACATCTTTTCATAAAGGTGTTGTTTTTTGGTATTGCTGCTGATAAGTAGGAGTGATACCCTGCTCTGGAGTAAGATTCTGGCATATTTTAAATAATGTATAAGCACCTGAAACTGCAAAAATACCTGGAAATGGAATTCCAGATTTATACTTAAAAAAGACTTTAAGGAAAGATGAATTCAAATTTTTAGGAGTCTTGATTGAGAAGCTACAGCAATATTTTATCAAATGAATTCCTGCTCCCTCCCGGTCTTGAGATGTCTTAGGACAGTTGCTGGCACTAATATGTCCGGGGATTCAGATTCGTTTTCGATTCTCATCATTCTGTTTATGTTACTAATATGTAATGCAAAGCTTTTAAAAACATGAATTTAAAGGATTAGATTTAAACAAATCATTGCTGTTGATCGGTGACTTCAGTCAAGCTTTCAATTCTTATTTTGTCAGCATAGATTTGAATTTATGACCTAGATATGTTTTGAAAAAACTCTTTATTGTGAATTTGGATTATAAAAGTAATACATACTCAGTACATATATAGCTTCTGGAATTATTTGCTTATATATTCAATGAAGTATAAAATACAAATATAAGTATTGCTGTTTGTGAATGAAAATCTTATCTCCCAGGAACTATAAGGACATTTAGCAATGCCCTCTTATGTTTCTGAATTTTGTAGAACTGAAAATGTACACTTCCCAAGGAGGTAAATCAAGATTCTCGGATTTTATTTTGCAGGGCAGACCCCTCTGGCAGTTTTATCTTTTTGCATAGCTTGTAGGGAGAGACTCGACTAGCTGAATGCTTCCTGGTTTCATTAGCCTAACCCAGACTACTTCCAACACATGCCCGGACATTAGCCATCGGGATTGCAGCCAAACATTTAAGACTGCAGTGAATATAAGGGGATTTACTGGTGAGAGAGCTCTAGACCAACTTAACACTGAACCTATAACTTTTCCAAGATTGGAAAAATATTGTACTCACAGGAACCATTTCTCCATTTCATTCAGATAAGATTTCAAGTTTTTAATCTATATTTTTATCTAGAATGATTAGCTGCACCATAATACATACAGCCCGCTGCATGTATTTAAGGGCATCTGTTAATCTCTCTGCCTGCCTCTCTTTTGTTGATTTATCTTTTGGATAGCTTTGACATTGTAAACCACAGAATTGTCGCCTCGCGTTGAAAGGAGGTGCTCTGCAACAGCTTTTCCTTCTTGATTTCTACAAGAGAAGATCTGAAAAATGACAGGGGCAAAGAGGAAACAGAAAAGTGTGCTCTGGAGCAAGATAAATACTCCCCATTGTGAAGACTTTAAACAGTGGTGTAGAAGGCGGCTCCCTATTTTGGAATGGGCACCACATTACAATCTGAAAGAAAACTTGCTTCCAGATACTGTGTCTGGGATAATGCTGGCAGTTCAACAGGTGACACAAGGTAATGTACTGCATTTGATTTTCCTGTTTTATGCAAAATAGATGTCACTTTGCTTTAGTGGAAGAGAGTTGTGACCTCAGGTCTACAATTTAGCTAATGAAATAAATAATTAATTTGGGGAGAAGAAACACATTGAATATTTGTATACTGAATATCTGTATAAATATAGAGAGAATCCTGTATGCCCTTAGAGCTTATATTTGTTGTGCATGCTGATTTAATTGTGTATCACATTGTTATAGGACACCAGAAAATACGTTATTGGACAGCCCCCTGGGTCAGAGGGAGAGAGCTGTCTCCCCCTCACCTCTTGTCAATCTTGTAGGAAAGATTTCAAACGAGTGACACTGGAGCAGTCTTGTAGCAGGCAAATTTATTAAGGAAGCAAAGCAAGCAAATTTATTAAAAATACACTTGGCATAAAACACAAGGGGGTACGCAGCTAATCTGAGAGCATGCCTGGTAGGGGTTCAAGACATTTTATACCCTCCTGCCTACAGGTTTCAAGGTTCCTCTGCCCGACTTGGGTACAGACTAGATTTCAAGGTCCCTCTTTTACTTTGTTGTGACTTTCCCAGAATTTATGAGAACATCCGGCATGTCCCGAGACTGCTGCTGCTTTGTTCAGTGAATGAGACAAAACGCCCCTTCCCCTCCCCGCTACTTTAGCAATTCCAGGGCGATTTAAGCTAAGCCTTGTCTGGTTACGGAGGAGGGTATTCACCATTTGCTCTCAAGTGTCCTTGGTTAGGGAAGATAAGGTCTTGCGATTCCCAAGCTGGCTTCGAGCTGCCCAAACTGTTTGGCCCTATTTTCTCGTCTCAGTTTCCCTATTCCATCTTCCAATCTCAGGTACATTGGTGTAGAAAAGACTAATTTTTCTAAAAGTGCCTCTTCTTTTAAAAACAATTCTCTCAAACTTTCTCATGCTTACCCACTATGGAGATATGAAAAGTAAAATATCACCCCATTGCTGTAAGGAGCATTGGACTGAGCTCCTTATATAGGTTATCTTTCCCTGTCTTAACAAAATCCCAAGAGACAGCTGTCTCCTCTGCATTTTCCACATAAGAAAATGGAGGCCTAGAAAATTAAGTGACTTTCCCTCGCCCTCATTCCTAATAAGTGATAGAGTCAGGACTTAATTCCAAAGTCAACACTTCACAGTTCCTACTCTACACTCTGTGCTGCCAAAACAACTAGACTTATTCAGAACACCGATGCCATTAATAATAGAAGACATTTCTTTAGAAAGGTTCGAACAGTCTTCCCTTCAAATTACTTTTGCACTTAGCTCTCACCCCTGCAGCTCTTAGGCCGAAAGGTGAAGTTCCCAGGGAAACGGGCGCAGAGGAACACAGGGTACGGGAGGCAATGCGGTGGGCGAGCTGAGTGGCACAGGACTCTGGTCCGTGGGCATCGGCAGCCACAGGCTGGCCCGGGGGACCACTTGCGGGGAAAGAGCCTCTTTGTTCCTAACCTGCGACTCGAGCGCTGAGACCGAGGGGAGCCCCGACGTGCGTGGCCTGCCATAGGAGAGCCTGAGCCCCGAAGAGCACATGAGGGTGTTGGTCTGTGAGCTAAGGGGTCACCTAGGATTTTGTTCCTAAACCCGGGAAATGTTACGCTGCCATAGCGCTTTGGGTCGCAGGGCAAAGAGGGATGTCGCTCATAATTATGCAGGAGGTGTGGCATCCCTGGCACGGAAACGTGGGGAAACTGAGCCCCGTTGCACTCCCCCGGGCAGCTTAGTGACTTGGGGAACGGTAAGCGGGAGCTCCTGAAGCAAATGAGGCTGCAGAATTAAAGGTTTTTCTGGAATATTCCCCGGCATGGTCTCAGGCTAGCTCTACCCTGACTTTCTTAATCACTGTGCCTTCCTGCTGGTAACTTTTCTCTTCTCCAGGAACAACGACAGCCAAGTATTGCTAAGTAATCTAATGGATACTTGCCCCGACCCCATAAAACTACACCCAGGAGCTAGTAACCACCTGCTGGCCTTCCCCTTCTCTCCACCGCCCCTCGTCCTGTGACCGCCCCCCACTAGAGTTCCAGGCTTCCTTCATTCAGCACTTCTGGTTTTCTTTTCTTTTTGTAAATGTAAAATAATGGTGATTTGTACATTGGACGGCCATTTGCATATTTCTGCACTTTGAATAATGTTTCCTATAATATTTAGACCCATTGATGTAGAAGAGTTGTGACCTCCCTTTTTAGGGGGGTGAGAACTTTGCAAGATTTGCAACAAAATAGAGAGGTAGTGAGTGTGAAAATAAAGCGTGTGGCTTAGGTAGTGGTAGGCTTGTCTTTCTGCCAGCTAAGATCCAGCCCTGGTTTTTTATTTATTTTTATTTTTTGGTAACTATGCTTTAGATTTGTTTTGGGGAATAATTCTTGTATTTTTACGATATGTGGTTTATATGAGGTTTTAATTTTGGCTCTAGTGATGGAGTTCAGGCTGATCCGTGGGTGGAGTCCCCCTAGACCAGGATTCTCAACCTTGGGGACTCGTGTCGGAGGCACCTCTCACTGACACCAGAGAGGTGTCATCGGATGGCCCCTTAGTCAGAGGAAGAGGGCTGTCCCCAACCTCATCCTGGTCTTCTCATATCAATGAATTTATATGAGACCCTGATTGTGTTACGAAAAGCCAATTTGATTCAAGCAATTAGAGGAAGCACCTTTATTTAAAAAACAAAGCAAGCCCATCTGTACACCTGGCTTATGAAGCGCAGGCGGGCTCTCAGGGGATCTGAAGGGGGAGCTGGGGGGGGATCCGGGCATCATGGACCCTCCCGCAGATCGGTTTCGGAATTCCTCTGCTGAATATTCTTGGACAGATGAATTCTCAAGGTCCCTTTTGACTCTGTTGTGGCCTTCCCAGAACTCCTGAGAAGCACCTGGCAGTTTTATCTTCCAGGCCTTGAGACTGCGGCTTCCCCGCTTGGGGAGTGAATCTGCCCTTGTTTCCTGTCCCCTGCCCCCCGTTTCCTGCCTTCTCTGGTTCGGGAGGCTTTTAACCCTTTGCTCTCAAGTGCCCTTGGCCAGGGGAGACAATGGCTTGTTATTTACAAGCCCGCTGCAAATTGCCCGCCCTGTTTGGCCTTGTTTTACCTTTGCTGTCTCGGTTTCCCTCTTCCACTTGCCCTGGAACTTTCCTAGCTCCTTACTGCCCTCGAACACACNGCCCTGGAACTTTCCTAGCTCCTTACTGCCCTCACCTTAGGCCAGCCAGTCAACCCGCCAACGAGGCAACGTTGAATGTGCCTTCTTTTGGCCCAGCCTCAGGCCCCTTTCATGCCAGGCTTCTCACCCATCCATCAGGGGTAAAGCTATAAATCCCGCCCGTCTCTCAGATGTTATTAAGCAAATAAAAGGATACCCGGGAAAGTGCTTTGCTAAGTGTGCATGGAGATCTTCTGCTGTGATGTTATCACTTTTACAGGCAGACACTCTGAGCAAATATTTTCATGTATTGTCTCTGTAACCAAGGAAAAAGGCAGGACTCCAGAAATAATGATTTTTAGAAATGAAATATAAACTGAGTGAATTTTCTATTATTTAGGACCATGATGCTAGTCTCTCATGGAGCAAACAGAATAATAAAACTATGGTTTATTTTTTCATTAAATAAACCAATATTCATTCTGCTTTGTAACGGACTATGTTTTGGGGTTATGAGACGGTCTTAATCACGCTGGTCTCCCCCCAGGGCTGGCCTTTGCCGTTCTCTCAGCTGTGCACCCGGTGTTCGGCCTCTACGGGTCTCTGTTTCCGGCCATCGTCTACGCCGTCTTTGGAATGGGACGTCACGTAGCCACAGGTAGTAACTGCCCTTTCCCATTACGCCTTTCATGTTACTAAAGAAAGGGACCTCCGAAGTGAGCATTAGTTATTGATTGCATTTCTAACTTGACTACTGAAAACCTCAGCAAATATTAGAGCCAAGACATTTAACTTTCTCTGCTTCAGCTACTCAATACGTATCGTGATTTATTGCTATATTACTAGGCAACCAGATTATTGTTAAAAAATTCTTTGCATTTTTAGATGTGAAAAGGCCATAAAAGGAAGACAAATGTTCTGAATTTACAATGAAATGGAGAAAATAAGCACTTTGGGGGGTAAAGAAAAGACTATCTAAAACTTAGTGACTTAAATATTGAAAAATATTGTCCACATAATCGACCTTTTAAGTTTCTTCTAAGCTATAATCCCCAGTGCTCTTTAATTAATATATCTTTTTCCTTGCTTAGCTTTGCATTACCAAATATAACGTGAACTGTCCCAAGTATGGTGGTCTGGTAGTAGAGCGGGGTGGTTAAAATCAGGGGCTTCAGTTAGTCCGGAGTGTATGTCTCACTTGCTGTTTGTTATCTGCATGACCTTGGGCAAAGTTTTAAAGGTTTATTTGCTGCTTTCTTAATATTAAAATGCAAAAAAATTCATATGGTTGTAGTAAAAATGAGATGAGAGCATGTGCAATGCCTGGTTTAGTCCTTGCTACACAATGAGATTTAATAAAAGCTACTATTATTACAAAATAATGCCTTACTCGTAACTATTAAGGTAATAATAATAAAAATACTTATAACTAAAAATATCCATAGAGGTATTTCTATTTCTATTAATACATATTAAAAAGGAACAAACCACGCTTTACTTCTTGTGACTTGCAAAGAACAAGCCTTGGAAAAAAAGAGTACCATATGGATTCAACTTTAATGGTGGACTTGAACAATTTTTATTGAGTCTGTTCCTAATAGGAGATTCCCCTGCCGGTCCCCCTCTTTAGGCACTTTTGCCTTGACATCCTTAATATCAGCCAATGCAGTGGAACGGCTTGTCCCTCCCGGGAGCCAGAACCTCACCCAACAGAGTAACACGAGCGTGCTGGGCTTATCTGACTTTGAGATGAAAAGGATTGGCGTTGCTGCATCTGTGTCCTTCTTGGGAGGTGTGATTCAGGTACGTGGTGCTGAGATGTGGGGTGAGGAAACTGAGGCAATGTCAAAGGCGGGCAGTTGGTGCTTTAGTTTGATTCATGGCCGTGGGGGTGTCTGTCTAGATGGATAGGGGCAGATGAAGTGTCTTTATGAAAACATGGTCTACTCCATGGAACAGTGACTCTAGAAGTGCTGGTTGAGTAAAGGAGTTAGAATTAATAAACTGAAGCTATAGAGAAGCAGTTTTTGACTTTTGAAGAACAAACTTTCTAAAAAGTGTTTTGCAAAAAGGAATGGACTTCCTCCCGAGGCAGTCCTCGGGGCCACCGTGGGATAATGTTGTCGGAGAAATTCCTACAATGGGGAGAAGACATGACTAGATTTCTAGGATCCTGCCCAGTTTTCAGAGTTTATGATAATACCACCTACATCAGTAAAAAAATACTATTTAGTTTTGCCGTAGGCTTGTTGGTGTGAGGTTGTTGGAACACAGGTCTTTCTGTACCAGTGATACTGGACACAGTGGGTCCAAAGCCTCCTGTCACTACTTGAGGCAAATTAAGTAGAGACGGGGTTGAATCATATATGAGCGTTTATTCCAATAATGCCGGCAGTTTGGGGGGAGTGGTCGGTCACCCTGGAAATTCTGCTCTTACTCCGCTCTCCAGTTGGCAAGAGAGACCATAACTCCGTGCAGCTGCGAGCTGCAAGTGGAGCAGGGGGAGGGGAGGGGGGTTCTGCAGCCCGGCCTTCAGGAGCTCAAAGTCTGATAACTAGGTGGCTAATCTTCTATGATGTTACAAACGGCTCAGCCTGTTCCTGGGACAGAACAATGGTCAGTGCTCCAGAGGCAAACTCCGGGAGGGCGTCAGGGTCAGTGCACAGCATGTCCTGTCCTTGGTCTGTTCTCAAAATGTATTTCTTTTCTGAGTAATGGACCCATTGAGGCATCTTATCTTTTTACAACCTTGTTTCACCCTCCAGTCTCCCAGGGTCTGTAAGAAGACCTCTTATCTGTAGTTAATAAGGTGAATGATTATGAAACACTGAGGTCCTGTTCTTATTATGTGCCCTCCCCCCAATCACCAGTCTTTGCCCCTTTTAGCATCAGGTCTGCTCTAGCCTATTTCTTCAAAACATCGGACTATTTAGTCTGTGCTTTCTAATCAGTTGTCAAAATCAGATAACTCAGAAGTGAATATAAAGTACATGCTGACAAGTGCTGACCATTAGATGCGGATTGCCTGCTTTGAGCTACTTTGGCCTGCTCCCTCACTTTAAACTGAATTGTGTGCACCTAAACTCCCTGGGTGGCTGTTTTCTGGGTGGGTAGAGGCTCTATTTTACAACATTACATTATTCACAAGGTCAAAGATGATGTAAACACCAAGAAGAGAGAAAAATAGTTGATGACCACCTGGAATTGGATGAGAGGAGGAAACGATGTGACCTAAAAGTTAGGAACATTAAACTTCTTAGAATTGCTTTGCCTTCCAGCTCTGTTCAGAGGACAGACAACTGGATGTGAAATGAGTGGGACCTCAAATCTTCACAGTTTGTTGGAAAACAAACCATCGTTCTTAAGAACATGTAGAGCCTTGGATGTATAAAATTGTAGAAACCCACTTTATGTTAGATCTCTAGGTCTGCGTGAAATGAAAGTGTGTTGGATAGTAAACTATCCAGCAACCTTGGGGAATTTCTTTTCCTTTGTCCTCTTAGGTGGCCATGTATGTGCTACAACTGGGCAGGACCACATTCCTGCTTACGGAGCCCGTGATCAGTGCAATGACAACTGGGGCTGCCACCCATGTGGTGACTTCCCAAGTCAAGTATCTCTTGGGAATGAAAATACCCTATATATCAGGACCACTTGGATTCTTCTATGTGAGTTTTCCATGTCTTTTTTGTTCATATATTTTGGGCGTGTATTTCACAAAGTAGAATTGGTTAATTATAATACTGAGCTATTTCTATATTAAAGAAACTTGGGTTTAAATATAATCTTATAAGATTTTTAAATGCAGTTTAGGATGTGGTTTAACAAAAAATATCTATTAATTTGGAAGCAATTCTTTATAGTAAATAGTTGAATATGATATAATTTGGGAGCTTTATTAGGAAAAAATAACAGTGTTTTTGTATGTGAGCCAGATGTGCTGCCAATTTCTAATGGGAGCCATCTACTGGGACTGTGGCCTAGCTTAACAACAGTACACTCGACCACACTCTTTCAGTATTCTGAGCCCTGGATCAGATCACAGACCTGGTCAAAATTGGTGGTTGGAGTCTCAACAGTAGACAATCAGTAATTAAAAGCCACTTGAACCTGAGAGGGGAACGTAGGGACAGTCTAAGCATATCATCCTCATAGTGGTCTATTGTTCTTGGTCTAATGCAAGCTGGCCTAACTAGGACTGTTCAGGGAGTCACATCTTACTGGAGTTTTTATATGAAAATTAAAGTCTTGTTAATAAACTTGAAGGCTACCAAACATCATATTATTTAATTTTATTTTGTAGAAGAGGAAAGAAATATTTTCCTTCTACTTTTCTAGGTTCTCAGCTGTGGCCATTGTAACAAAAAAACATATTAACGGGAAAAACAAACAGAAGTTTATCAACATGTCTATATGATATATGCATGTGAAAAACTCAGGGATGAGTATCTCAACAGAGGTGGCTAGGACTTTGGCTTACGTACTATCTTCACCTAATACAAAGGAAGAAGGGTGGGGGGTAGGCACGTTACCAGACGGTGACCAGGAAAAGTAAACCGGGGTAAGGTTGTTACGCAGGGTTAAGTGGGTGCCTTCCCTATTGATGGGGGTCTCGTGATTTAGAGCCATCTTTTTCTTTCTAACACAGAGAGGGAAACACCTTACAAAAATGGAGATTTCTTTTATAAATGTAAATTTCCCTTAAAAAAGCGTAAGTTATACTCTGTTTCCAAAACTTACTGTGTTGACTCTTTCTCCAAATAAGTTTAAAATATTCCTATGTCAAAAAGGCGTACTTTGAGGGTGGCATATTCTGATCTCCTACAGTGTAATGCTATATACTGCACTGCATATATATATATATATATATATATATATATATGTATATATACACACTTATATGCAGTGTATATAAGTAACATTAATGTTTTATAACAAGAGTTTTCCTGTTTTTAATTTTCTTGATTTCAATAGCTGAATAGTAGCTTAATATATGGAAGTACAATAATATACTTATCTAAGAAAAAAGAACACTGGAACTGGTCCTAGAAGCAACATAATTCCAAACAAACAAGCAAAATTGAAACCAACTCATAGAAACAGAGCAGAATGGTCGTCTGCCAGAGGGAAAGGTTTTTGGAGGGCTGGGTGAAAGAGGTGAAGGGATTAAGAAGCATAAATTGGTAGTTACTCAGCAGTCCTGGGGGTATAAAGCACAGGCGATACAGTCAATACTTCGTGATAACTGTGTATGGTACCAGGTGGGTACTCAAAATACTGAGAGGAACACTATGTAAAGTATTTTATTGCCTAACCACTAAGCTGTACACTGAGACCAATATGAAATAAAATTGAACATAAAGATACAAAAAAAATAAAAAGTACACTCAAATAAAAATAAAGAATATATTTTTTTGGAAAGCGTACGGTCTTCTCACATTCTGTGCATTTTAGGCAAAACAAACCCCCCTGCCCCAGCCTATTTCTCTAACCCATCATCGCATCATCGGGCTAATTCCTGTTTGTCTTCTTTAGGGGCGGCTTGCTGGCCACTAGCCCCTCTGAGACGCACGTGCTTCAGCTGCTCCTTCTACGTTTATAGCACCTACTGCACCTACTGCACTAATTTGTTGCTTTAATTCCTAATTTGTACTCTAGATGGATAGCTCTATAAATACTGAGGCTTATCTAAATTGTTCACCTTTGTAGACTAGAATTGAGCAAAGTGGTTGGCATAAAGCATGTGGCAATAAAAAATAAAAGAAATACTGAATGACTGAGAATGTAGTAATATTTTACATTAAGTCAAATATCTGATGTCAGTTAAATACCAGTACTTCACTCCTTTATGTTTGATTCTTGGGCTTGAGGAAGAGTGTGTGTGGGGGGAGGTGCCCAAGGGAGCCTATGAAGTCCCCTCATGAGTTCCAGCATCTCTTCTCATTGATGGGGCTGGGACGGAGAAGTCATACAGAGAGTTCTTACGTAGAAAGAAGCAAACCCCGAGTTCACCAGAAGCATCAAGGGCAAGGCGATTTCGTACGTGCAAATGAATTAGAGCTTTGCCCTGGCCACCCGCCCACACCCCACCTTTCCGTCCTATAACCATGAAGATGTTTTAGTAAAACATCACCGAGTTCATTTGGAGCCAGATGTTGTTACATGGTGGGTGACCCTAAATTTTCTCTGCGTCTTTTCTCATCACTGTAGATCTACACATATGTCTTTGAAAACATCAAGTCTGTTAGACTGGAAGCGCCCCTCCTCTCCTTGCTGAGCATTGTGCTGCTCGTCACGGTGAAAGAGTTAAATGAACGGTTTAAAAGGAAAATTAAAGTTGTTCTCCCTGTCGATTTAGTTTTGGTAAGTATGAAATCAGCATTTAGGGCCTGGCCGGGTGGCTCAGTGGCTGAGCATCCACCTAGGATCCAGGAGGTCACTGTTCGATTCCGGGTCAGAGCACATGCCTGTTGTGGGTTCGATCCCCAGCAGGGGGCGTGCAGGAGGCGGCCGATCAATGACTCTCATCATTGATGTTTCTCTCTCTCTCCCTCTCCCTTCCTCTCTCTCTAAAGTCAATAGAAACATATTTAAAAAAAAATTAGGATTGTCCTATAATGTTTACCAGTTGTTAAAGTTAGATTACGGTATCTATACACACCACACACACATACACACGCACTCCTATAGTGTTTTTCTCCCCTTCAAAATTAGACATAATTGGGTTTACATAGAGTAGAATATTATAAAAAACATACTGTAATTCCATTTAATTTTTGAGACTGCAAATTAAGGGCTCTCAAATCTCAGAAGGAGTTTTTGAATTTTAAAATTTCCTAATTTTTAAAAATCTGTAAAGCTGCTACATTACTCTTGACAATCATGGGACACATGAACAGTGTTTACTTTTAAAATTAGTTTTTCAAAAGGCTACTAATTTTTTTCTTTTTTTCAAATGGAACCACAGATTATTGCTGCGTCCTTTGCTTGTTATTACACCAGCATGGAAAACAGATATGGACTGGACGTAGTGGGTCACATTCCACTAGGGTAAGGCAGTCTTTTCTTCTTCCTTTGTTGTTTGTATGTTTGTTTATTTGTTTTTGATGGAGTAAGAGACTATGGAGGTAGGTGGTATGGATTTTATTTCTTTCAAAGGAGAATATTCTAATTAATTTCTATTTTTAAGTGATAAAAACAAAAAATACACATGTAGAGAAAGACTAACTTCTTAGTCTGTTTACGTATAACTAGGAATGTTAACTTTAAAAAAAAACCTGACTTTGATTTCAGAGAAAAGGGAGAGGGAGAGAAACATCAATGATGAGAGTCATTGACCGGCTGCCTCCTGCACGCCCCCTACTGGGGATCGAGCCCACAACCCGGGCCTGTGCCCTGACTGGGGATTGAACCGCGACTTCCTGGTATATAGGTCGACGCTCCACCACTGAGCAACACTGGCCGAGTGATAACTATTTTTTTCAATTTAGTTTTTATTGTTGACAGTACTNACAGATGTCCCCCATTTTCCACTTCTTTGCCCCCTCCACCCAGCCCCTGCCCCACCCGAGGCCTTCCCCAAACTATTGTCTGTGTCCATAGGTCATGCATATAAATTCTTTGGCTAATCTCTTCCTGCCTCCCCTTCCTCCCTCTGAGATCTGCCAGTTAATTATTTTATACAGCACTGCTTCAGGGAAAAGATTTGGAAGTTATTTACAAAAATACTGTTTTTTTAAAAAATGAAGGCATTACATTTCCAAATTAGAGTCATGCTCTGGGATTCAGTCTTGCCCATTTCACTTACATAGTCTTAGGGCTATTTTTATTTCACTTAAAACATAGTAGAAGTACCCAAGCACGGTCTGACGCAGCACACCCAGGGGCCCGGGGGCTGGACAATGGTGAGGCAGAGGGCGGGTGCAGAAGAGGGCACGGTTTCCTCACGCGTAGAGCTTCCCTCTGAACACGGGGAGGAAGGTTAACAAGAAGGGTTCACCCTCAGAGGGCAAAAGGCTGCTCCAAATATAGCCTGAAAGAAAACAAGGGCCTCTCCGGAGAGCGGCGCGTCCTACGGGTCACTTCCTTTGAATGACCCGCGCACCAATGTTTATAAATCTGGGGCAATGTTCGTTGCTGAGTCCTCTATATTCCAGTCCCAAATTTTGGTTTCTAACCACACTAAATGGAGGGAGAATAGAAAAATTTCATAGATTAAAAAGATAATTTTTAAGAACTGGGTTTAGCCTATATGCAGTTAGAGGCTATTGGTGATTATCTCGGTCAGAGGGTTTCTGAGGTCAAGGCTGCTTGGCTTTCTACTGGGTATTTCCCTTTTTCTGCGTGAACTTCGGAGTCATTGCCGTAGGTGAATTCATTGCAGGCTGTTACAGAAAGTACACGGAAGGCGGCGACTTCATTACGGTGTTTCTTTGCACAGAATTCCTCCCCCCGAGGCTCCCCCGCTGAGGGTCCTCTCTGCAGTAATCACGGAGGCCTTTGGAGTGGCACTTGTAGGCTACGCGGCCTCGCTGGCTCTCGCTCAAGAATCTGCCAAAAAATTCAAGTATTCAGTTGATGACAACCAGGTGGAGTATGCCCTGCCCCTCTCCACAGCTATGGTAACATTGTGCTGTGTACTCGCAGGGGCTGAAGATGGTGCCCTTATGAAAAATATCACTTCCCTCCGTGTGCAGCAAGAATAGATAAAACAAAAGAAAAAACCTCTAAATCATTCATAGCTGAGTATCTGTCCTTAATGGGTCGGTTTATTTCATTTTTAGAAAAAGGGGCATCTTGATTTTCTTTTTAATTTGCTTTTAGGCGAGAATCTAAATATATTAACATGGAGTAGTTACTTTTTAAAATTATGGATTTTAAAGTACAAAAACCATTCATATTACTGCACTTTGTGAAAAACCAAAGGTTGTGAGCATCTGTTTACAGGACGACAAAGGGTGGGGATAGTGCTGGTTGTGTTTCTGAGCCTCCTTCTCCCAGGGTCTTGCTTTAAGCCCGTGGCCCTGCATTCCTGCAGCTCTGCAGAGACGGCAGCAAGCCCGGGTACAGATGTCAAACCGCCCAGGCCTGAGTCTCGCTCCCACACTGCGCGCCCTTAATTATTTCTGTGCCGCAGCTTCGTCATCTGTGTAAAAGAAGATTTGTTCATTCAGCAGATGCGTATTGAATCCTCCTGATGTGCCCGGCGCGGGTCTAAGCGCAAGGGATACAACCACCAACCACGCACAGCACAGGCCATGTCCTTTCTCAACTCAGAACGTCCCTGGGGTTTGCCCTTGCACTCAGATTAAAAATCTCTCTACCAAGGCTTACAGAGCCCTGCATGACCTGCCACCATCCCTTTTAAAAAAATATATATGTTTTTCTTCATTTTTACGGAGAGAGGAAGGGAAAGGGAGAGAGAAACATATCGGTCGGCTGCCTCCTGCACGCTCCCTACTGGGGATGGAGCCCGCAACCCGGGCCTGGGCCCTGACCGGTTGTACTTTCCTGTAATGTTGTTATGGGTATTAAGTGAGTCAAGTTTCTTAGAACAGTGTCTGGCTCATTAAATCACTCAGTAAATGTTTGCCTTTTTTTTTAATGGTTAAGTCACAAGCAGTGGAGAGAACAGAAACTGAATGTAAACAAGTCTCAGTGTGTGACAGGTTGTCCTGGGGCCTCTGAAAGCTGATTGTCACTGAGAGATGATATATTCTCATACCATCGATCTTACAGGAGTTTCTGGCTCACGGCCTCAGCAATGTGATTTCTTCATTTTTCTTCTGCATACCGAGCGCCGCCGCCAAGGGACGCTCCGCTGGCCTGTACAGCACGGGCGCCAAGACGCAGGTAACTTCGCTTCCCGCGGGCAGCAAAGCGGCGCCCGCCTTTCCCTGCCCGTCTGGGGAGGGGGTTAATTACGAGCTTCTATCTAAAGTACAGAAAATCTTTTGACTTCTTCAATTTTTTCTAACTAGTCTCAAGGAAGTCTGTCTCTCTTCTCTTTCTTGTGGACGTTCCTTCCAAAAGCCAGCGGCTCAGTGAGCGGACTTTAAAAAAATACTGTATCACTAGCAGCCCGATTGCCGGCCGCCTCTGCACCAGAGCGCCCGCCAGTGGAGCCTCCGATTTTGTGTTTTTGCTAAGCCCACCAATTTGAAATTTTTCCATTTTTGCTCACTTTCTTTAAATTAAATGAAATCAATTCTATGCAAAATTAGTCGTTAACACTGAGATTCCTGTATGAATGTATGTACAAGTATTTCAGTAAGCAATAAGATGTTTTGCACATTCGAGGTTAAAGAAACAATGACAGATTTTTTTAGGACTCAAGTCCACTCAACATTTGAGTCGCTGCTATATACCAAGTATTGTGCCAGGTACTGGTGAGATGACAGTAACGACAGTGAAGATGATCTGTGATGATTATCACAGTGGTAGTGTTGGTGGAAACACCTAGCGATTCATGTGCCAGGCATTGTGTGTCACACTTTCTATGTAAGTGAACTCATTTAACCCTTTCTAGGCAACTCTGAAGGAAGTATAATTATTATTCTCCGTGTCCACATGATAAAGTTGAAGAGAAGAGCCTTAAAAAAATTACCCAGGCCACAGAGCTAATGAGTTGGCAGGGCTGGGATTTTAACCCAGATAGATTTTCTCCAAATCTTGCACTTTGAGACTCTGTGATCTGTAGAACTAGTGAAGATGAAATCAGGACTGCAAGATATAAATAGTCTCTGTAACTTAATAACCAGGTGCCGGCATATTGTTTTTTCTAATTGAGATGAACTAGGAATTATATTCCCCCCTTATAACACTGGAATTATTAGCAAGTTCAAGGTTTTCTTTTGTTATGTGTTTTGTGTTTTACAGGTGGCTTGTCTCATATCTTGTGTTTTCGTCCTGATAGTCATTTATGCCATAGGACCTCTGCTTTACTGGCTGCCGATGGTACAGTAGTGCTTTTTCATGGTCTACTTTTTAAGTTTACTTTTAATGAGAAACATTATATATTAGATTTTCTTAAATTACTAACTTCAATGATCATTCACGATCCACGGGTCATTCATGTGACATAAGCAATGGTTGAATGGAGGAGAGGTGCGAAAAGACCACCTCTGATGGGGAAGGAGCAGGACTTTTCTAATTATCAGGCTCTTGTATAAAAATGCCATAGTGGAGTTAGATTCATTCTGTGCTCACGTGGAGAGTGCAGTTAGGCGATCTCTGTTACAAGAAATAGACTTGGAAGAAATTTTACCCCAACTTGTACTGTTAGAAAATGTGTTCGGGAAAGACAGGGCGCAGAGTACTGGATTAAAATCTCACCGCCTTTGACACATCCCTGTACAAAGTGACTCAGAATACTAGCCCCTGGGGTTCATCTTGCCTTTCACAGGCCTGAGGCACCCACCTTACGCAAGTAAGACTCTGGCCTCCAGGGAACCAGACACAGTGCCAGGCCTGCCTTGTTCCAAGTCTTCATCCATAGGGTGAGATTATGTAATTTCCCCGGAGGGTCCTTCAATAATCAAGTTCACGTTTCAAGAGAGTGATATCTTTAGGTGAAACCAGATGATTAATACAAAAGGCAATTATAAAGAAATACATGAGCCCTCTCTGGGTGGCTCAGTTGGTTAGAGTGTCATCCCGATGTGCCAAGGTTGCGGGTTCGATCCCCAGTCAGGGCGCATACCAGACTCAACCAATGATGCATCAATAAGTGAAACAATAAACAGATGCCTCTCTCTCCCTCTCTCCCCTTCTCTCTCAAGTAAATAAATAAAAAATTAAGAAACACCTGATATAAATATTTAATTTTGCAACAAACAAATTTCAAACGGTGGTAAGTAATGATTATGAAGGTAAGAGGACAGTCAGCTTTATAACACTCACCCTTATCAGCACTTTTCTTTACCTTTCTTTCTAATTTTTTAGAATGACAAAAATCGTACCCGTGATTTTCTAGGGTTGGTATTACATTCCTGAGGTGCAATAGTAGGTTAGTTCCAGACAAAGTAAATATCACAGTAGTCTTCTAAATGGTGATGCTTCTTTTCTAGTAAGTACTCTGAAGACAAAGAAAGAAATAAAAATACCTTGGTTCTTTTAAGTTTTGAGTAAAATATTTATCCTGCTCTTTCATTCACCTGTTTCTTGTTCGTAGTGTGTTCTTGCAAGTGTCATCGTCGTGGGACTGAAGGGAATGCTCATGCAGTTTCAGGATTTAAAGAAGTACTGGAATGTGGATAAATTCGATTGGGTGAGTAGAAACTTAGCCTAAATTTTTCACCTTTGGCTTAAACACGTGTAACAAAACGGATTTTAATAGTTTTATTTGCAGAAAGTAGTTTCAGTCATTTGAGACACTTTACATTTGAGAAATTAACTACCATAAACTTATTTCAAAATCTTAATAAAGTGCATTAAGACGTGAAATGTCTTTATAAGGAATAGACATGGAATTTTGTCCAATTCTGATTGATGTGTTGTTTGAGAACCTTTAAAGAAATGCGGACTCGCTTGAGTGGATCGGGGGTTCTTCATCTCTGTTCTGAATTAATTTAGGCAGTGAAGCCCATCAGGAAGCACACACAGAAATATGACAATTCATACCGTGCGAGAAATCGGCACTAATTGCTGCGACACGTTCGCCACAGTAACACACGGTGAAAATCTTAACAGTGACCGCATTCCTTCTGAATACAAAAAGTCTCATGAGTTGGGTTTTAAATGGGTCACATTGCCCGGGGGAGGCCGTGACGAAGGGGTTTCGGAGGCGCCCGCTGGGCGCGGGGCCTGCTGCTGGAGCGCTGTGGCCAAGCTGAGGAGTCTGGCGGCCCCGGGAAAGCTGGGGACGCTGGCGGACCCCTCTGCTTCTTTCAGGGCGTGTGGGTCAGCACGTACGTATTCACCATATGTTTTGCCGCCAACGTGGGGCTGTTGTTTGGTGTCGTCTGCACCACAGCCGTCGTCCTCGGCCGCTTCTCAAGGTAAGATCTCACTGGGATGTGCTGTCCCGGGGACACAGCCGCGACGTCCGTGGCGCCACCGGCGGCTGTGGCCACAAGGCACCGGGCCTCCCGTTTTAACTCGCACCAGCGTGGGCCACAGCGGGAAAAGGCTTATCTGCACGTGGTGTGTAAGAACGTGGCCCTGAAGATAAATGTTGTCAGTACCGTAAAACAGAATATATAACATCTATTAAAGTAAATAATCTCCCTGCCATACACTGTATTACAGAGCTATTTTTAATTAAATAAAGAGATAAAGTTTACAATGAGATACAAACCATGGAACAATTTAGTACTTTAGAAAATAAAATAACTTCAGGAAATTTAATTTTTCAGAAGCCGTATTAGTCTATCTAGCCATAGACCTTTCTTTAGGTAATTTATCAAAGAACGTTCTCTCTTTTTGCCTTTTTTACTGAATACCTGTGAGCAGATTTTTCTGTTTTCCATCTGGTAACAGTTTTGCTCACTTATCCTTCCCTTGAAATTCTCTGTGAAATAAAGATTTTTCTCAAAATCTGTAGACTCTTTAACCTTTTGCTTTATAACTTGTATTTGTCCGTTCACCTCCTGTAGCTTGGCTACGTGTTGGCTGGGAGCCCCGATTAGGTGAATCACATTTTTAAATCACTACTTAAGAGTCCCTGTTGTTACCCTTTATGCCTGGGGATCCTAGAGAAATACGGACTTTCCAGTGTTTTATTAACAAATGGGACATAGGCCCTAAACCATTTTAGATACGTCCCTGTTGTTAAAACATCCTTTTAATTTCTCTGTGGTTAATGTAGAAATTAGGAAATGACATGTTGTTTTTCATCTGCCTTAATTCTAGAGCAAAGACACTGAGTATAAAAAACACAAAAGAAATGGAATTTAATGTGAAGACAGAAGTAGATGGCGTAAGTTTAGTTTCTTTTCTCCTTTGGGCAGTTACTAACCATTTTTGTGATTCAGATGGTTTTAAAATATCATTAAAAGCGGATAAGTTATGACACTGAAAAACATTATAATTGCATTTTTCATTAGTTTGAACTTTAAGTTGCAACTACCACACGTATGGTAGTTGACATGCAGCAAACCAGCAGAACCACTCCAGGGAAAGCTGCATTCGCGTCCACGCGCGACAATGAACCACAGGCCCCGGGGGTCATAGTCAGGCTCACTCGGGCGCCTGGAAACCGCTTTCCCGCTGCTGGGGCCCATGAGACGGTCGCACTAACCCAACCAGCCTCTCCCAAGTAGCGGTGAGGAAAGACGGGGACTGGGGCAGGGAGAAGGCGACGTCAGGCCACGGTAGTGTGTGTTTTTGTGCTTTGTTTTTTAACACACACAATGAGGTTGTATTACTAGCAGGTGGCAATCAATCCCATGGTTATGGAATGACGAAAGAGTCAGTTCCTCGCGCAGGGTACAGTTATTAAAAAAAAAACGGACGTGTTTTCCCTGCTCGTGATGATCAGGCCCATTGTGTTTCTGCTCTGGCTTCTTCATTCCGAGGGACAAGTGTGCAGTGAGAAAGAGCCGTTTTCTAAAATGCTTCAGACTCATCTCGTGGCTACTAATGTTTCTTAGTGAAGAAAATGCACCTATTTCCCCTGAGAAACACGATAGTATATTAAGTTCTCCGAGTACATTTTAATGATGGAAATGTTAGCGAAGAGATTGCTTCATGACCGCGTGACATTCAGGCTCGTGAGGCTGAGGGTCATTGGGTTGAGTTCCCCTGTTTTATATTATTCAGGATTCTGAATCTAACCCATTTCTCCTCCCAAAGGAAACCCTGCAGCAGGTGAAAATTATCTCAATCAACAGCCCGCTTGTTTTTCTGAATGCGAAGAAGTTTCACGCTGATCTCATACGTATAATCCAAAAAGAGCAGGCCAGCCACCAGCCGCTCGATGAGACCAGCAAGGTAGGACCAACTGCTTCATGATTACAACGCTGTGACACAGGTCACCTTATGTCACGATACTCAGAAACGTGCATCAGCAGAATTACACTATAAAAGTGCACAGAGGCCTCTCCCTCAGCAAAACGCTATATTGTATTATGCTTTTTAGATGGTCTTACAGTTAGCTCTCAGGGCATCCGTGATCATCGATTTTAAGTTTAACAGTAGGATACGGAGTCATTTTCATTATTCAGCGTTTCCATAAATCAGGAATGTTCCTCAGGCATTTTTGTGGATCTTCAGATAAACAGTTAACTTTTGTATCATACGAAATATATGGTTATATCAATGCCAAGGTGATTGAAGGCCAAAGAGTGGTAGATGAATATAAATTTAGCAGAGCATGTAGGACAGGATATACAAGAACTGAAAAGCATTAAGCACAGAGACCGTGGCCATCAAACTTCCCTAGATTATTAAGAGCGTTTGTTTACCGAAAAGCACGAAATAGGGCATTAAAGATAAGTCCGAGTGGAAGATGGATGTGACATCTAAAGTGGAAAAATAATTGCTTTCCCTAACAAATCAATAAGTATAAAGAGTGCCGTGTGAACGAGGTCCCTTTCTGATCGGATACGCTACAGGACAACGCGTGGGAACGTTTAATTCCTGGTCAAAAATCAAAACAAACTTAGTCTTGCATAAAATATTCTAAACAAGACAGTCTTACTTGACAACGTAAATGATCTGCCGAGCGAGCTTACGCTTAGAGCTAATTATCATTTTATTACTGCCCTTTGTTGTACTTACTCTTCTGAAATAAATAGACTATGGAAAATAGGCATCGGAGGCCAGCGTTTTGTTATTTATGGAGAAAAGAATGGGAAGGGGTGAATTTTTATTATGCTATTATTGTTTGTTTTCATTTCAGTGTGAACAAAACACCTTGCTCAGTTCTCTGTGCAATGGCACCTGCAGTGGTGAGTCCGGGTTTCACACAGGGTTCTGACCTGAAGCAGCCCGAGGCGGCTGCGGCCGGTCCTGGGG